CATGCTAAGGTGTGATCTTTGAAGTTTAGTGTGGTGCAGAGACTTCAAAGGGGACATTTTATTAAAAAATAATAAAATCAAGAGCTCCTAAACACTTGCAATTTGAAGAGCTTGTTTGAAGTCTCTCCATGTTCTCTGGTGCTGATAGAGTCACAGTGCTGAGGTGCTCCTTAGGCGTCACCATGCAGTACTTAACCTTCACTTTATTTAAAAAAGAAAATAATCAAATCCAGGGCTACTTTTTCAAGTGTTTTCATGGCTTGATCTTAGCAGTAAAGAACTAATTGTGCCATGTCATGAGCTATGCAGGAAACGAAGAAAATCAAGGCTGACAATCAAATTAGCAAAAATGAAAATTTAGTCCAGGTCTGTTTTTTTAATCAAAGTCATTTCAAGAGGAACAGGAAAGCTGTAAACCTTTCCCAAAGCAGAGGTTCCTTCCCCAGCCCAGGAGGCCCCTGCTGTCCCCCTCGCTGCACCAGGCATTGGGTGCTTTGGTGCTGCTGCCATCCTGCTGCCTGGCCAGGCCTGGGCACCGGGCACCGCGCTGGGCATTCCCTGCTGGCTGGGGACAGCTCCTGCTGCCCAGGAGCCACATGAAGTGCTCTGGGCCTTTCATGAGCTTGGGCTCGTGCTCACGCTTACCTTGGGCCAGCAGGGCTGAGCGCTGCGCCCCTCTGTGCCCCTGCCTGTGCCCCTGCCTGTGCCCCTGCCTGCGCCTCCGCACTGCCTTGTACGACACAACGAAGCTGTGTGCGCGTTGGGGTTGGTGTCTGCAGCTGGGGAGCACAGCTGGGACAGCTGCAGGTTCCCTGTTGCAGCTGGCTTGGCAGGAGCTGTCAGGAAAGGCTGCTTTTGGTTTTGGCCCCGAGGTTTCGCCATCCGTGATTTGGTGTGGTTCCATATGGGCCTCGGTGCACTGTAGCACAAAGAACACACACATTTACTGTTCAGGTTGCTGTTTAAATCTCTGTGCCAGCCCCTGATTCTCAATCTGCTTTCAGATTCCTCTGGTGCCATTTAGCTGAAAATCAAGTTTTCTCTAAGCAGGAGAGCTCTGCTGGTTTTATGGTGTTGCTGTAGGCTGGTTTATGAAATACTCTTCTTGGTAAAGGATAAACACTCTGTTAGCATTCAGGTCTGGGGAAAATTGGAACAGTTCTGCAGCATTAGAGGAAGCCCTTTCTAAAATCTAAGGTCATTTAAATTTTAAAGGTGGTAGTAGTGCACTCAGTGTTGGGTTTTTTGTTGGTTTGGATTAGCAGTTCTTCATTTTCAGTCATGCAGGAAAACATTTTGCAAGGGATTTATTTATTTATTTAAATATTTTTAATATCAGAAATTGAAAATTCTAGTGTAACAGATGATGCAAAAACAGTAATATAGAAATCCAAAGCTATAAAAGCTTATGGTGAGAATTTAATGCAGAAACAGCTGTTATTTCCTTGGGAGTTAAGGTGTATAAACTGTTGTGTGGCTGTGTATCCCCACAATCGTGGTGTGAGGAATTAGCGCTCACTGCAGTGTGCAAACCGAGCCTGCCAGGCTCTGAGGCAGCGATTCATCTGTACCCAGGAGTTAAATATGACAATGTTAGCATTTTTCATTTCCCTGACGTTACCATTAATAAAGCAATGATCCAAAAGAAGCTTTGCTGAGTCTGTTCTTTATGCTTCCATCACTCACAACTAGATAATTTCACACAGGATCGTTTTTAAATTAAATGACGATAAAAGCGCTCTGCTGTCCTGTGCTCACTAGTTCATAGAAGTCTATCAAGTCATTAATGTGTCATGACAAACTGTGAGTTGGATACAAGAGTAATTAATTATTTGCATAAATAACAGGTTGAACTTGGTGCTTTCAGCCACAATGACACATGTGTCACATGGTGGACATCCTGGAACCTGTGGCAGAGGTCACGGCAGGGTGAAGGCTGAGCTGGCACATGGGTCATCCTGCTCTCATGGACACAGCTTGGAAGCTTTTGTGTTTCCAAGTTCTTCACTGATGGTTGCTTCAAGAGAACATCTGATCTTTGGAGCGTTAGCGAACAATTATACAGATTTTCATAATCACCATTAATCACCACATATTTTTCAAGATAATTACAGCAACTATTATTTAGATTTCTCTTTTATGTGCACATTGTAGAAAAGAACAAGTGCTTATTACGCTGGGTAGTGTAGAGAACTACCGTCTGAAGTTCTTTGTCATCCAGAAACTCATTATGTTAGCTGATGCTGCCTGTGAAAGTTCGTCAGCATGTTTAAATTAGGGTAGCATTGGCAGGTCTGATTATTTAAATCTGGTAGCTTGGCTAAAAATATAGTTATTCAAGAAAGATGAATTACTAATTTGACAACTGAGATTTAGTTGGAGTCTGCAGCACAGAAGGCAGCATCTCTCGAGTGCTTAGAGAAGGGTGACAATGCTTTCACAGATTAAAGAGAGGATTTCTAAGCGAGCTAGCAAGTTGAATTATAGAGCATGCTTTGGTGTCCTCCCCACTAGGGCCTGAGAGCAGGTCTTGGTCAATCACAGTGCAGGAGTGGCCAGCAGCTGGAAGTGGTTGTGTGTTCAGTGGTCCTGCACCCATGAAGGGACACGTCCACTGCACCTCACCGAGGCATCCATCCCCTTCTGCTGTCAGGGATGCACGGGAACACTGTCCTTTGGGGCTGCACTCTGCGAGGTTGGTTTTGGCTGCTGGCTCCTCTCAACTCTTGTAACTAATTGCAGTGCCTGAGTTAATTAGCTGTGACCCTCAGGAAGGAGCTGTCCTGGGAGGCAGCAAACAGCCATTGGAAACAGTTTTCCTCCTGAAACCCGATTTTATTTTGTTCCGTTTTGAGGGAGAAGAGCGCACCCTTGCAGTCCTCATGAGCGTGAAAAAGCCCATCTTGGGCAGCAGCAGCAGCAGTGGGTGTCTCATGCTGCGAGCAGGGCACCCCACAGGTGCAGTGGGGGCACAGAAGGCTCCTGCCCCCAGAGCATCTGCTTTGTGCAGGGCACTTGCTCAGCCAGGAGAGCAGATGCAAGGGGGGAGCGCTGCTCCCCATGCATCTTGTCTGGGGTGTCCCCCTGCCTGCCTGCAGCCCCAGGGTGGCCAGAGGGCTCCTGGAGCCCGGCTGAGCCACGGGCTGAAGGGCTGCTGCCCTCCTGGTGCTGGGGCAGGCAGTGGCTGTGGCCGCCCAGGGCTTCCTTTCTGTAAAGGTTCCAGAACTGGTGGTATTTAAACCCTCGTGACACCAGTGCCTGGCTGAGAAAGGAGACGCTGAATGAGCACCTTGTTTTCTGCTTTCTGCCTTTAATGCATTTTAGCAGCAGGCTGGTGACGGGCCTGACACGGCAGCTCCGCACACGCTCCCGCGCTTGGGGAGCGCAGCATTAATAACACACTTCCATGCATCGTGCCATTTTTAAGCATGATCGTTATGATAAAGGGCATATACTTAATTACAGGCCTGCTTAATTACAGCTCTGTTGAAGCTCGTTTGTTTAGGAGAGCGCTAATTGCGCTGCAGAGCCTTTGGCTCACCCTGCTTTTATCTGCTGCTTTGCTGTGTGCGCTGAGCTCCGGGTGGGCCGGGGCGCGTGCCCAGGGACGGGGGCTCTGGGGATGCACACTCTCCCTGGCTCAGGCTTTAGATTGCTTTACAGAGGCTGGCGTGTGGCTGATCAAAGGGGGTTCCTGTCGGATAACAAGTGCAGATGGTCTTTCAGGTTTAAAACTTCCTGGGTTTGGTGATGCTGCTTTTCATCTGTTTCCTTTTGTTTTCCTTTGCGCTGTGGCTGCCACGCAGCACCTTTGATAACAAAATTACTCCAGTGGAGGGGGGTTTTGTATTGAAAATAGACAAAGCCAGTGTAAAAGGCTGAGTCTTCTTAAATGACCCTTGTTTAATCACTGACATGGTAACTCAGTGGGGCTGTAGAAGTTAGAAACAGCAGAGGAGCACTGGGTTTGTGGGTGCAGATGCTTTCTGAAAGAAAACCCTGTTTGAGGATCAGTGGAGGGCCTCTCAGGGCTTAAATTTGCTCTGGTTTGAAGTTTTATTTCTTTCAGAGTTGAAATTTAAAGACTTCAGATGTTAAAGGTGTAAGTGCAATTAAGGGGGTGTATCTGGGGTGTGAGCTGCCTTCGAAACATGCCCTTTTCAGTCTTCCATGCAAATTGCTGAGTTACATGTTTTAAAAATGTCTCCCTTGTACTGCCACATCTTGTGGGAGGCTTCCTGCGACATGGTGATAGCAAGACACAAATAGTGAACATCATTGCACTAGGACGAATATACAAGATGGTATAAAGGCAAACAGTGCTCTGAGTACCATTAAGGTTATGCTACAGAAAAAGCTGGGCCATGTGACATGAGACTGTGGTGTCGTGTCCTCATGTCTGTCTTCATATTCCACTGGTTTACATCCTCCAGATGTGGTTTGCAAGCGCTTGAGCTGCTGCTCACTGTTGAGTTTACACTAGCAACAGCAGGCCAGGGTGCTTGGCCCCGGGTGTTTGTCATCATCCTACCCAGACGCTGGCAACTTACCTGCTTGGTACACGGGTGGTGGTGTTGACTGCTTTGAGGGCTGCAAGTCCCCTGAACCAGCTGACCCTTATCCTCTTGCTCAGACACCACCCCTGCTGAACTGGTTTGGTGAGGAGGCGATTAATACAAGTTGTGTCCTTCTAGTTTCAAATACTGTCCTGCTTTGCCAGCTGCACAAAACTGGAAATGCAAAATTGAGGCCATGAAATTGTATATGGATAGAGCAAGGAGAATTTGTTGGATTCCTGGCTTGGTAGGGACTGACCCAGCTATGTCTTAAATGTAAAGAAACCACTGGCAGTTTAGAGGAAGAAAAAGGCTGGCAGTAACGTTTGGGAGCAATCAGTCATGTGTCAGTGCTGTGAACACTTGATCTGTCACTGGGAATGTGTGAAGTTGCATGTCAGAAGGCAGCTGGAAACGTCACATATGATGTCTTGTCCTTTTCAGCAATGGATGGAGTGCCTTTCATGATTTCGGAGAAGTTTGCCTGTGCTCCTGAAGGGGTGAGTTTGTTGTTCTCCAGTGTCTGAAATCCATTGTTTCATGGGGAGCGATCACAAAACATCAAGACAAATTAGCTGCTTCTGGGAGCTATTCTGTTGTGGGGCCAAATACATACCCAGTGCTTGAGATGGGCCAAGGTTTGCATGTCACAATAGCTGCCCGTTAGATGGGAAAGGCTTTTGCCAGATTGCTTCTAAAACTGAATTGTCCTGGGATTTCAAGGTTTATTACCATCAAAAATAGGAATGGCAATGGGACTCCCTGGTGCTGAAAGCATTTCTAATTTCTCAGCATAGATTGTAAAGAAAGCTACAGAGGTGGAGCTCTCCTGCATTTACCTGCTGTGAGGATGGCATAGTGCCAGCAGCTTTACGAGTTCCTGTTGTCACTGCAGAAGTTCGGGGCAGTGGTAATAGCACAGTGCACTCCAGTGCCATCAGCTGCCCCAGGGTCCTTCCTGCCTGGCTGCGGGTGAGCTGGAGAGGGCACTGGGTGGTGCCTGCTCCGCAGCGGGTGCTGCTGCCAGCACGGCAGGGCACGTCTGCCTCACCAAACAGAAACACTGCTCCTGGTCCAGAGTGACCTCTGGGTGTCACTGGGCCCGTGCTTGGTAAGGTTCATGATCCAGCGCTCAAAGATTCAGCATCCAAATCAGTTCCCAAATCCATCTGATCCTAAAGCAGCATCTTTTTAAAAATCAATTTACAGGAAGCTGTTAAGGCAAACACTGGGCCATCAGCTGTGTCTGATTTTTCAGTAGTGCTCCAGCTTTTTGCTTTCTTCTTCCTGCTGACAGCGGTTTTTCACATCCCTTGCTTTCTGAGAGGGTTGTTTATGGGCCATTATTCCCAGAAATCTGAAGTCCCTGCTGTGAGGACAAATGCAGAGAGATTAGGTTGTGCTAATCCTCCCTGCAGATCCTTTAGACACCATTGCCACCATATGGTCAGTTTGGTCAGGGCTTCCTGCAGCTGGTGCTGCTCACGCCTCGTGCTGCAGCCACAGAACCCATCCCGTGCCACAGACCCAGCCTGCCTGCACAGAGCAGCACCAGGGTGAGTGTCAGCTGTCGTGCTGAGGGAGAGCAGGGCTGGAGCTGGGAGCCCCAGCCCAGCGCCTGCTGTTCACTCTCCTGCTGGAACGAGGAACAGGATCGTGCCTGTGTTTACAGATGGTGCCTCTAAATCTCTAGTGATGGAGTGTTTGCTGACTTGAAACACAACAAAACAACAAACAAACAAACAGACACCCCCTCCCTGACCCTGAATCTGACATTTTTGTTTCTTTCTTGCCAGATGCAGCCGGTTGATCTCTTGGGTATCACAATCAAAACCCTTGCAGAAATTGAAAAGGAGGTAAGTAGCCAGCCAGGCACTGAGCAAATCATGAGGGCTGTGTTCACTTGTTTTTAAGAACCCTTCCCTTAGGGAAAATACTTTTCTTGTCTCTCCCAGATCCACCCTCTTGTGCCTGAAAGTTTTGTCCGAGTACAAGAAGATGGTCAGGCCCAGTTGGCAGGGGTTTTGCAGGCGCCCCGTGGGGCTGCAGTGGCTGCAGTGGTGGATCTGAGGATGCTGCCTGACAGGGCCAGTGGCTGACAGATGCACCCACTGCCTCAGGCACTGCAGTCTGCCACGTGGCACACATGCCACCCCTCTGTTTGGGACTGGCAGTGTCTGTCAGGAGGGACCCTCAGAGCAGGGGGTGCCCAGGGCTGGCAGCCCTTCCCCGTGCCTGGCTGCTGTCCCGTTCCTGCGCTGAGCTGGCCAGGGAGCAGATGGTCCCTTTGGCCATGGGGAATCCGTGTAGTGCTGAATTTGCTTCTGCATCATCTCTGTGCGTTGCCTGGTGTGGGAGAGGTCTGGCAGCCTGGGCTGCACAGCCCTGCTTGTGCCCTCGCAGGCCTGTGGAGAGTGGGGACACCAGCGCTGCAATCATTTCTGTGGGCAGCAGGGAGAGGCCAAGACCTGCCTGCTCTCCCACAGCTCCTGCTCTGTAGCAGGCTGTGTGCGTTCCAGCGTAATGAAAAGTATGATTATGCAGCCCATATTCCTTGATGAAGCATCTTGTCTGCACATAGAGAGCTACACATATAAATATTGTGAATTTCGGCATGGCTTTATTTCCCTTGCAAGCAATAGCACTATTACAGCAAATCTTCTGGATATCCAAAGCAGCCAGAACATTCTCCCTGGAGCAAGATGCCTTGCAAAAAATATTCCCAAAGAATTCTAAGAATTACTGTTCTCTGTCACCACATTTGCAGATGTATGCACCCATCCTCCAAGCTGCAGGCAGCTGACTTTCAGGACTCTACCCTGTCAGGAAAATGATGGAAATAGATGCAAATCCTGGACTGCACCTGAACTGCTCGTGTTGCCCCAGGATGGCACAGCTGTGCCCGGGGGTGTGCTCAGAGAGCTGGGCTATGAAGAGGTGGTGAGGTGCAGGTGTAAGCAGCACGTGCCATCACTTCATGGCTAATTTGGTGGATGTAGGACAGGCAGTGCTGCAGCCAGCCTCCCAGCAGGGCTCTGTGGGTTTGTCCTTTACCCCTGCCTGCCCTGGGTAGGGTAGAGCCACTGAGCAGGCGCCTGGGCAGGTGCAGGTGGCAGCCAGGGTGGTGGCACTGTCCCTGTTCCAGCTCTGTGGTGGATGCTGTGCAGTGAGGGCAGCGGTCTGGCCGCTGGCAGGGTGCACCCTGTCTTCATTTGCGCTTGGCGTGGTGTAAAAAGTCTAGAGAGAGTCTAATTAGTAAAGGGAGCATCCAATATTCATCATTCCTTTTAAAGTGATAAGGAAGGCAGTTCATTTAACCACTGAATTGCTACAAGTTTTCATGGGCTCCTTTTTGCAAATATATTTAATGAAGAAGTTGTAAATCTAGAAGAGCTTAAAATTTTAATTTTACACAGAAATATTTTTCCTTGTTTGCATGTTTGTAGTCAATTCTCCTGAGTGCAGTCACATGAAATGTTCTTTAAATGAACATATTTGCTAACTGGCATGATTTCAGATTTTAAAACATTGGTTCCAGCAATTAGGAGTTTCCTCAGTTCCCCAATGACTGGAGAGATTCGTCTTGATTATAATTGCTCTTAGCCACGCATATCTAATTTGTGTCTTTTTAAGTGTTAATTAGTAAACAGTTTGAGCTGACATCTTTATGCGTTTGGGTGTTGAAAAATGAGGCCTATTGCATGCCAGCGGCTGCAGCATCGCGACAGGGAGGTGCGGCCCCGGGGAGTAAAGGCCCGGTACAGCCTGGGTACAGGCTCTGATA